GAACGGCCCGCTAGGCCGTTAGTAACGGTATCGTTACAATATACTTTTTATTATATTTATATTATTATAGGTTTACACATGCTTTTAATATATTGATAGCTATTATTAAAGAGATCATGAGTTTTGTTTGACTCTACTATCCTAATAGTAACCAAATTTTTTTTTGACGATAGTTTATATGTCAGTGGCAATATTATAAAAGAATATAAATCGTTCTTTCATCAACCGTGTAATTCAAAACGATTAAATATTTTTATTGTAGATGATACGTGTACTGTTGAACATGTAGTAATTAAAGCATCACTTATTTACAAGAAATGTTTTAAGATTCCGTATCCAAATCAAATTTTTTTTGTAATAATACCATTATTGCAATACAATCAATAATAAATTACTCAGTATTACTCAGATTTATACTCAGATTTCAGTAATTGAAGAATTTTATACAGTGTATCAAAAGGTGTATTTACGTACAGTGTGCTATACGTACAATATGTTAGGTTTTACAGCTGTAAAATAAGCATTATTGGAGACAAATTACAATGAGTAGAGTCCGCGCTGACTATGCGACTATCTTTTTTTTGGGAACAGAGTCCGCACTGACTGAGGGCGTGTTCCGATATTTACTGTCAGTACTGAAAATCTATAGTTTACGTCACATATACTACAGATTTTCAGTACTGGCAGTGAATATTGGAACACGGCCTGAGTACGCCGGTGGGTGCTGGGACTGTCATCCTTGAGTGGCAGAGTCCGCACCGGTTATGTTTTTTTAAAACAAGTCAGTGGCGTTATATATTATTGATCGTTGGAAAGCAACTGAATGTCGTCAGTTTCTTTTATATACAGGACTTGTTGTTTTAAAACCGATTTTATCAAAACGTAATTATACTCACTTTCTTGCACTTAGTATCGCAATAAGAATTTTATGCGATTCAAATTTATGTCTTGTTCTAAATGATTATGCAAATTCTTTGCTAAAGTGGTTTGTAATTTAATATAAAGAATGATATGGGATTCGTTATATTTCATACAATGTATGAAACAGAGTATGTCCTTTTCTACGTGGGCATCGGCCCCCACTCCTTAAATAAAGGCAAACGCTCGGTCTAGATATACTATGTCTATGGGCACCCTTATCTTCCTTCATGAGTCTGTGGCATGAACAGTAAACAGATCTATATCTAGACCGAGCGTTTGCCTTTATTTAAGGAGTGGGGGTAAAGATGCACGTAGAAAAGGACATACTCTGTTTCGTGCCCCTTGCGTTCTCTTTCGCTCGCACGTAGCATGACGAAAGAGAGCGCTATGCTATGTGCGAGCAAGAGAGAACGCAAGGGGCACGAAACAGAGTATGTCCTTTTCTACGTGCACCTCGGCTCCCACTCCTCAACACTCGGTCTAGATATACTATGTCTATGAAACAGAATCTGTTCCTTGCCAAAAAGTGAAGAAGAAGAAGAAGAAGAAATGTGTGTCGTGTGTCGTGTGTGTGTGTGTATATGTCATCGATGAATTACTAAATGTAAAAACAAATAATTATTTATCTCATAAAAAGAGTTATAGTGATTAATTCAAAACGAAATTATCTAATCAGTGCAACCTAACTAAAGTAATATGCTAACCTCGTACATATTATTGTTTACCGGTTTGATTAGTATCATAACATGTAATAATGCATATAATGACTTTTTCGACGAGGAGTTAATGTTGAAACCTTTATCAAATAATCACATTTATGCTTATTTTCAATTTACCACGATATGGAAAACGGCAAAACATATAGAAACGCGTAAGTAATTATTATAGTACTTAACCAGTAAGTTTGAAGTATTCATATAAATGTAAAAAAAAATTATTTTAGTTCAACATTCGCATCTCTTTCCAAGAGGCTTGGGTGAAATCATAGGTCGTCATAATGTCGATGAATTACATGTTACTTTAACAGAAGGCTTATGGAATTATCAAAAATGGGGATATCCGTTCCATGATGCTGGACCTGGTGCTGAAATCACTGCTTGGTTTAATAAGAATGTAACAAAGTAAGAAATAGTACTGATTTTATAATTTTTTTTTTTCATATTTAACAATAATATCAAACCATTATATATAATATCAAGTAATATAATAAAATATTCATATATCATATAATAAAATATTTGAATCTATGAGACCAGAAAGCAAATTTTTTCAACTGCTGTGATTTTAATTTCTGATGCATTGGATATAGAATAACAATTTCACTAAGAAAAAATTGTATTACTTAATTGAATCATATAGAAAAATTTTAAAAGCATAATATATAAATTTTTTTATAGCGTAGACAAAAAATGGAAAGGTCTGACAAATGCTTTAGCTGGATTACTTTGCGCATCTCTGAATTTTATTGATATATCTAATAGCATGTCACCAGAGTTTACATTCCGTCCCACTGGACTTGTCATGAATGGATTAGTAAATGCTAGTCACTTACGTTATTCATCACTACCAAAGGAGATAGTTTGTACTGAAAATCTAACACCATTTAAGAAATTGTTGCCATGTGACTCCAAGGTATTCATAAATCGTAAGCCATGTATCTACATTGATTAGTTGTAATAGCTAATTAATTTTTTCTCTAGAGAGGTCTAGCAACATTGTTGAATTCTGCACATATACATAATACAAATTATCACTCCATTGGAATACATTTTCGATCAATATGTCGTGACACAAGTTGCACAAGAATTTCTTTAGAACTGCAACAGACTGTCTCCTTAATATATGATATAATGACAGACATGAATCAGGTAAAATCAGATTAATGTATAAAATAATCATAAATTATATACTATTGTTCAATTATTAATGTTCTTAATTTACATAGGATTGGTCAATAAGAAAATTTTTTGGAATGGGGCTTCAAGGTGCATGCCCACTTGCAACATTAAGTAATGTGTATGTTGATATATCGAGCAATAATACGAATCATATATATGAGTTAACACCACCACCAAGTGCAAGAATTGTTAGCTTACGTGGAGGACAACAGAATAATATAGCAGTATATGATATCAGAAATCATTCTAGTAGAGGAATATTTAATATTGCTGCTATATATAATATGCCAACTAATATTATAAACTATCCTTCAATTCTCTATGCAAATAGATATATTATTGGTATGTGTGTGTTCCATTTTTAAAAACATTTTTATAATTGATCTATATTTTGTTTGCAAATGGATATTTTATATTCATATATTTATCATGCATAATTTAAAAAGTTATAATTTGTTAATTAATGTTATATATACGAATACATTAATATTACACAGGTTGTTTACTAATATGTAAAATACGCTGCACATAATGGTAGAATACGAGTTACAAAAATATTTATAAAACATATGATTTTGTTTCAGAGGTACATCCTGTTTTATATTTAAACAAGTGTTTATCTACTTTTAAAATAATTGCTTAAAATAACTAGTTTGAATATAGGCAGAACACTTTATCCCTAGTTTGAACATCTTATTTTAAATTTGAATATCTCATTACAGATTATTTGATATGTTTTAAAAAGATGGTATTCGAATATACTGGCGATTTTGAAAGTAAAATATTTTGAATCAGTAGATATTATGCTTAAACGATTTTGGATGAAATAATCAAGTAAATTTAAACCAAGAGAGCAAAAAGAATCCTATGGAAAATGGCTCCCGGTGTATTTCATAGTTTATGAGACACTGAGCAAAAATCTCAATAGGTACAACTGTTTAAGAGCTATAGTTTAGCCTACAGAAAGCATTGAAAATTGATTTTTAGGATTTTTTTGCGAAAATGATCATATTTACAACTTTCTGTGATTTTCAACAAGTGAAACATCTCTAAACTCACCACATGAAGGTGTCTGCAATATGAATCTCATCCAGAATCTTCCAATATCCTGTTCATAAAATTTAAATGATTGCCTAATCATTGCCAAATAGCTCCATTTTACATATAAAATAAGATTAGAAAAGATGGAGATGAGAAGCAGCTAATAGAACTATAATCATTAGTAATGATCAGGCAATCATTTGAATTCTATGAACGGGTAGTTAAAAGATTCTGGGTGAGATTCGTATTGCAGACACCTCCACATGGTGACTCGTGGAGTGTTTCACTTGTTGAAACTTGCAGAAAACTGCAAATACGATCATTTTTGCAAAAATTCTAAAAATCATCAACTTCTAATGCTCTCTGCAGGCTAAACTATAGCTCCTAGACAGTTGTATCCATTGAGACTTTTGCTCAATATCACATAAACTACAAAATTTTAAAGTTTGAACGAAATCCACTCAGCGCCATTTCTTAAGGAGTATGCGAGGTCCTTCCAGTAGTTTAGAATTTCAAGTATTTATTAGTTGCTAGCACACACAAATCTGAGAATTACCTGGATTTTTTTAATACATCAGATAATCTATGATAAAATATTCAAAGCTATATTATTTAAGAGATAATAATTTTGAGTATCATTTTGAATATCCTTTAAAAACAGGAAAATATTTGTTAAAATATAAAACAAACTATAAATTGAAAACAAGATCATTTCAGACATATATTTATATGAATTTTATTATTTTTATATCCTGAACTCAACTTATGTTTCTATCACTATTGACATTTTGCACACATATTAGAAAACATTTTATTTATAGAATGAGTTGATGCAATTTATATGGAACAAATTTCTTGTGCAATTGATAACAATCCGAAAAACAAGACTAGTCATTTCTTGTAGAATCATTTTCTGATGCTGGAATACGATTTCGGTTTTTATATTTCTTAAAATATTGAGAAATTTGTAATTATAGTTATAAGAAATAACTATTTTAATGTATTTTGTCATATTATAACTATGATATGCGAAAGTGTGAGAAATTTTATTACAATCAAATTAATTATTTTTTGGTTTTTCTTTTTAGCTGAACTTGCTGCACTAATTCACGAAGTTTGCACTAAAGCATTCTTTTTGGGTGAACCATGCAAGAGTAAGTGTTCTTTTTAGCAGTACAACCTGAACAACCTAATACAGCCAATTCAATGAACTGTCTGCACTAGATCTGGAGGTAAAGCAAGCAGTGCAGGAATTCACATTAACCCGGAAAATTTAAAATATTCAGTGAAGAAACAATCGATAAGAAGGGCTTAAGGAGCAAATAATGGATGTCTGTATAACAAAATATAAATCAAAGAAAAAACAAAAAACGCGACATAAATATTAATAAATTAGGTTGAAATAATTAACATACAATAATTTACAAGGCGTGAATAATATAATATAAATAAAACAAAGTTAAAAAATAAAGCGCTGCAACATCTGCGCTTTATTTTTTAACTTCGTTTTATTTATACTATATTATTCACGCCTTGTAAATTATTGTATGTTAATTATTTCAACCTAATTTATTAATATTTATGTCGCGTTTTTTGTTTTTTCTTTGTGATTTATTTTGTTATACGGACTTGCCCCGGATTTGGCCGTTATTTGCTTTTTATGCCTTTCTTATCGATTGTTTATTATTCTCGGAGCCCTTTATATTCATTGAAGAAAGATTGTAATAAATGTTGACTACTGCACTGGACCGTTCTTTTTAGATCCATGTATATTTTTGCACTTGCCTATACTATCTTGAACTAACTTGAACTAGTGCAGTTCTAGTGCAGCCCCAGGTCAGCTAAAAAGAACAAACCATTTGTTAGGACTTTCAATTTTTAAAAGAAATTTATTACATCAACTATAGTTAATATAATATTTATGGTTAAATATGCACTTTAATGCGAGTTAGATCATTGAGAATCTATTAAATTAAAGTTTTTATTTATATTTATTTAAACTTAAGGGTTTTTAAGGTCATTGAATGCGAATTGATATCAAAATTGGTAAATTTAAAATAGCAGAATTAATATGGATGTCTCAAATTGAAAAATATTTCTTGCACAAATTTTTCATACAAAATTTGAATTGTCAATTTTGACATTAGATTTATATTCAGTGACCTAAAAAAACCCTTAAGTTTAAATAAATATAATTGAGAACTATTTGATATAGATCCTCAATGTGTGTAATCTAATTCGCAACAGACTCCATATTTAACCATAAATATCTTAATAATAGTCAATACAACAAATTCCTTTTTTGAGGATTGAAAGCACTAATAATATATTTAATTTTGATTGCACCAAAATTCGAATATTTCTCGAACACGTCACAAATTATAACTATAATATAACAAAACATTAAAATTCTTACAACTTTAATCACATTTTCAAAATTATGACTGATGGTGCAATTTGGAAATCGAAATCGTTTAGCATAAAAAAAATTACAAGAAGTGATTAGTCTTGTTCTTATGTTTGAAAAGTTATTTTTTATTGAACTGCATAACAAAAAAAGTAGTAAAAGAAATAATTAAATGATGTATCTTTCTATGATCTCATTTTTCTGCAATAATACGTTGGAAAAGTGCTATTAATTTTCTTTTTATGATGAAACTTAATTTTTTTATATAAATTGATTCCTCGAAATATTAGGCGTAAAAAAGTTATGTGTGTGTGTATGCATGCGATTAATACGAGATATTTTATTTTATAAAATATTTTGTACAATATTTTTTGATAACCTTTTTTTAATACTTTTATGTGTAAAATAATGAGATGAAATTAATTGGCGTGAAGAAAAACAAATTTATTTTTAAGAAGACAAATGCAATTTGTAATGTATAACAAGTACCTTTTCTTAAAAATAATATGTTTTCTTTACATCAATTGATTCATCTCATTACTGTAGGCATGGAAGTAATTAAGATTATCGAAAAATGAATATTTTATAAAATATTTCATATTTTATATCAAAATATGTTAGACTAAAATAAAATATCTCGTAAATTATTCAATTTTTGGCCATCTTACCTTCATAATTTTTTACATCGAATATTTTGAGCAATCAATTTATAAAAAATAATTAGAAGTTCCATTAAAAAAAAAGGATACAGTTGTACTTTTCGGATGCATTATTGCACTCAAGAAAAAATATCATATAAAGATAGTCATTGTTATGTCACTCAATTTATTTCCATAATTTTTTTATTGTAAAATTGACAACTCATGATTAAACTCGGTGCGAATTGTATGATTCATCTGGAATATTCGTGTGTGTACATTATTCAATGTTTATCCTAAATTTCGTAGGATTTAAAAAAAGTATTTGCAAAAATCTAAGGAAAAAGGCTACAAAATTTATTTATTCCATGCAAACTGCAACTTATAATAAAAAACAGAAAATATTTTTTACTTAAAAAGTACTAACATTGATTTTTTTAAATAGAAACTTAAGTAGAAATATGATTTTTTAAATATTGGACATATAGATTTATATAGGAAATTATACTACTAATATAATTACTACTACTGAAAATACCACTCTGTCTTACATAAGAAAAAAAAATGTAACTTATATAAGCAATATTTAAATTGTATGTTTCTTTCTATGTGCAACACAAAAAGTCTGCTCCTTTAAGGGGGGAAACCAGTGTAACGGCTAAAAAAAGGCTATTTTTAAGGATTTTTTTTCTAGTAAATATTTTTTTTTTTTTTTTTCCAAATCGCGTTATTAACATCGCAAAGTACATAATTTGAATTACCTTTTGTGAAATTTTCGTTAAACTAAAAAAAAAAAAAACAATTATTTACCACAAAAAAAAATCCTTAAAAATAATTTTTTTTTTAGTCACACTGGTTTCCTCCCTTAATAAATTATTATAATAATTATTTAATCAATTGGCTCCAAAGTTGCACAAATCCTAATTATTTTTTTCTTGAAGATTTTGAATATTATTAGATAGTGTTCGATATACAATCGATATGCATAAGTTGCATCATTCTTTATTCTTATGAATAAGTGCTTTTAACAGTTGTTGAATTTATATTGATATTATTTACAATATTATAATAAGAAAATATTTCTATTTTAAAAAGCTCAAAATACACACACACATATTAATATATAATTTTTTAGGGTATGGTCAAGAAAGAGGCAGTTTAGTGACTAAATTATATAATAATCACTGGCAGACATTAGATGTGATCTTATTGGAAAATATTCCATGGTACTTATTAGTTTACTTACATTCTGTTACAATAACTCAGAATGGACAACAAGTTCGTCCATGTAAGTAAACATAAAATAAAAAACATAAAATGAAGAGAATAACTAAATAGAGAGTTGATCATTATCTATTCACAATATATAACATATACAATATAAGCAATCAATAAAATTTATAAAAGAAACTTTATTATATGAAAACTTTACAACATAATTACATGTCGATACACATATTTTGTAATATTATTTGTAATATTGTGCACACATTACAGTGGTGCAGCGTTATCTACCTGGAAAAGAAAGAAAAAGCCCGTATTACTTAGAATTAATCCTGCGCCTGCCTCCACATTCGGTAATGAAAATCACTATCGATATAGATTACTTATTTCTTAAATGGCAGGAATATCCACCAGATGCTAATCACGGTTTTTACATGGGACCAGCCATAATTACGGCTTTGTTACCCATAGCTAGAAATTACACCGCTCTGCCGTTTGATGGAAGTACAATCAGTTCAAGGTTCGTTTTCTTTACCTTGGCAATTTCTCTGCCTGTCAATAACTAATACAAAAACGCAAAAATTTTTTTCTTTATAAGCAGGATAAACTGTATAAATAACTCATATCGACAATAACTAAACTTGCAGTTTTAACGCTTCAAGGGACGACTATTTAGTACAATTACGGACAGAGTCTTTGCTTATCAGTCTTCCGACTCCCGATTTCAGTATGCCTTACAATGTCATATGCCTTGCATGTACAGCCGTCGCATTAGCATTCGGCCCTCTTCATAATATTTCCACGAAAAGATTGGTCTTGAAGCGTATTGAGAAGGATTGGAAAAGTAAATTGTTTTCCTTCTTCATAGAAAGAATATTTAGAATAAAGAGAAAACAAGAATAAAAACTATAAATGAATTATATATTAAATGTATTATAAATGTGTAAAGTGTATTTCTCATTTAAATAAATATATTCACATATTTTATTTGTGTATTAATTAAATTTTATTAATAGAGATGCAAGAATTTCTGATACGTGATTCCAGAAATTAAAAACGGTCTTTTAATTTCTTGTTTAGCGAGAGATATTTGCTTTATATGTTATATAAAGCAACCGAAAATTGCTCTTGTTGATTTTCAAACAATGATCTTGCAATATTATAAAATTTTTTAATGTTTACTGTGGAAAATATTAAAAAGTGCATACATTCTGTTCTGAATCCAATATGTACATACTTTGACATCTACATCTGCTTTAAAAATTGAAACTTATTTTATATTAAAAATTATAATATATATAATTAATTATATTTAATCATTTTTGTATATATGACAAGTTTCTATATATTCTATAACTCTATAACTTTTAATCAATTGATTCCATTCATGGTGTAACTCCATTTTTATTCCTCAAATAACATGAAATCAGAATAGTCATGTGATAATTTAATATGAACTATTTTATTCAACTATTATTAATCAATAAGATAATAAATACAGGGTGTCTACTCAAATCTTGTAAACAAATTCCTTGAATATTCCCTGATCTTCCAGATATATTTGTTCAAAATCCCAGGTAAAGAGAATATTTTAAAGATTCTTTTGGTGCAATTTCCTAAAATAAGTTTTTTTATTATACGCGTTTTCTAATGCTTTTTACTCGTATGAAACAGAAACACAAAGCCACTTGAGTTTCAACTGATAGATTTTCAAATGTACTGAAAAAAGCTGAATTAAGAAGCTTTCATTAAGATAAAAATTTTTAATTTGCATAACATTTTCATTTTTTATCACTAAAAATTAAAATAAAAAATATGTACTGTATATTTAATATTTTGTTAAGATATTGAATATATAAACAGAGGTAGAAATATATTTATAATATATTTTAAACACATAATTCACAACTTGGCTTAAGCTTATTGGATTGCAAACTGCCTACAGTATAAGAGCAAAATTATTAGAGAATTTTTTTGAAAATTTCCTGGGTCCCAATAAAATTCCATGAGAATTCCCTGATTTCTCCAGGTACAAAAAAGTTTCCTGAGAAACAGGTTTTCCATGCTTTTCCAGGGAGTAGACACCCTGTAAATATGTAAGAAATGTAACACATATACAAAAACTGAATAAGCTATTATTTCAGTAATAACTTATTGTATATGGATTTAAAGTGCCATGATCGGAGAAAAAAACATACGCATCCGTTTGACGGATGATATTTATTCTTGTTCTTATCTTCGTTCCATATGTTGTTCGATAACCAGTCTGTCGATAAGTGTACGTGGTAAATGCAAAGCTTCGCATAAAGTTTGTTTCGGCGTCAATTTTCGCAGGAGAGACTTTGCAATTGGAGAATCTGTTGTAGTCATGGGATCTCTATTCTCGTCGCAGGATGTTCGACTACTCTGACCATTTTCTTCTTCGTCAGATGAACAGAGGTCAATTAACATTATTGTACTTGATGGGCATTTTCTCTCTTTGATTGGTTTTATAGTCTCCACATTATCCAAAGGTGATTTCACAGCAGTAAACGCGATTAAAGTCTCTTTAGCTGTTGTTGTATTAATACCGGCATCTTCATCTTCAACAATGATCGGATCTAATTCATTTCCCAATGGTGCTTTACGTTTGGAAGACACAACTGCATTTTGTTCACAAGTTGCTTTTTTCGATTTTGTTTTGCAAGCCGGTCCCACTCTTCTCATTAATAAAACTTTCCGCACATTGATACTCTTCTGAGGACACTGATATTTTGAGGAATCCTTCTTTAGTTCATCAATTTGTTTTTCACTCAGGCGGGTAAGAACAACATAAATAGGTCGACATGTAGCATACAGCAGTTGTGATCGTATGCTCAGCACTAAAAAAAAAAAAAACAAATTGTGTGTGTAAGCTTTTTAAAAAATTTCTCTGATATTTAATATTATATCAACTCTATGGTAATGGTTTTGATATAATATTATTTACTATTTCTTTATATTTCTTTATATATAAAAATACAGATAAATCTCCATATACAGAGTGTTAAAAAAAGATGGTACCAAATTTAGAAGTATTTAGAAGTAGTATCATAGAAGTATGTAGTACTCATAAAAATGAACCAAAATCTTAATAAGTAGTACTCCAAAAACCATTTATTGCCGAGTTATAAAGCATTTTCTGTTATTAAATAAATTCAATCTACAGATTTTGTAGTATTGCCATTTGCTCTGCCATACATAAAATGAATGTCTGTCAGAATTTGTGTAAAAATTAGCCATTTCTCAGACACACAAAACCAGACACTGTCAACAATTATCGTTTAAAAGCTGAACAAGACAATGGAAATCAATGGCGCTCGTAGATAAACTGACACAGAGAATTGAAAATTGTCAACAAACTCGTCGACTCTAGAAGCTCGTGAGGAACGAGTGTACAAGCAGTCGCGTGTAAATATATCATACAATGCATACTCGAAATAAGTTCTATCTATAATAACAGAAAATGCTTTATAACTCGAAAATAAATGGTTTTTGGAATACTACTTAAGATTTTTTGGATTGTTTTTATGAGTACTACATATTCCTAAAATTTGATAATATCTTTTTTGAACAAATGTAGATTATATATTTATACTATCTATTTCTTCTATTTATCATTTTGTGTACATATTATATCAATTAATCCAATAAATGAACAATATTGAACAATCCGTCTTTAATATCTAACAATTTAGTGATGATGTCATTTTGTTCTTTTATTTTTTTCAATGTCTCTTATTTATTTTCTCTCCTATTTTATCTCTCTTGTATTATTTAATTTTTATAATTTATAATTGTTCTATATAAATGTATAGCTCGTTTACTCAATGCTTTAGTTTTCATGTTAATATTTATTTGAAAACAGATATTTGATTGAATGAAAATCAATGTGTTTGTATACCCTACATCACTATTGTATAATATTAAAAATATCTAGATTGTTCATTTATGAGATCAATCAATTAATACACAATATTTTGTATATTATGTATACAAAATAATTGACAAAAGAAACTATCTACATTGGCAAGTAAAGGACATGCATGATATATCATATGTTTCATTCCCTTTTTTATTCTACATATGATTACATAAGCTGCGTTCAGGGAGCATGCTTACGCTCTAAAAGTGTCGTTCTATCTTTGTTACTTACTGAGTTGAACAAGGACAGAGTATGCTCATAGTGCTAAAAGTATACTCCCTAAACGCATCCATAATCATGGAAATATATAACAGCAGAACAGTGGAACAAAAAAGTAAAGACTACAAAAGCACTACAGAAAATATGGAAATGTTTGACTGTACTTCAACTTAATTTTTATAACTTTGATAGATAGCAAAGATATATAATGCCTAGTGATATTGAAATGTATAGTATCTGGTACAGTAAAATACATACTTGGCTTGCTTTTAAAAGAGTTGACAAATTTATATTGATGCACATAATCACTTGTCAGTTTATCCCGGTTTTGTTTGTGTGTCACTATCCATCTATCACAATCTACTTCAGTGTCTAGCCATTTTGGTCTGCATGAATCATTCAATACAGGTGCAGTGACATGCCTTTCGATTCTATCTAATCGTTCTTGTTGCGTGTCCTCGGTCATTGCTTTCGATTTTTTTGCTAGCATTATACCGGCGGGTGATGAGAATGGGATAGTGGCGTATCTTGTAAAGCTAAAAGAACTTCTAACACGTCTAGAAGTTCGTCTAACAATACTGTTATCAGGAACATTCGCGTTATTCGCACAAATTGACTTAGCTTCAGTCTTATTTGAAAATAATTGGAAATACTCCAGAAATTGATCCTGTTGCAGTTCAGGCTCGGCTATGGACAAATCTGGTGAAGATGAGCGTGAGCCATTACCATCATGGTTTTGTTCGCAACACATTTTTTCATGTTCCTAAATAATTAAATTTAAAAAAATATTGTTCAGCATTTTATCATATAATAGATTTAATTTATAACAAGAAATGTGTGTGTGTGTGTGTGTGTGTGTGAGTTATGATAAATCTGATAACAATACCTTCATTTTTGCGAGGCCTATGAATTCAGCATCGCAATTATCACATAAATAAATATCATCACATGGTGGTTGAACCATCATGGGGGCTTGTTGTTTAGTCTTGTTTCCATAACCTGATGAAGATGCATTATAAGATAACAATGTTCTTCGAGGACTGTCATTTTTTTTGTCATAATACTGTAAATACAGAAAAACTTTCTCATTTATTGAATCAAGAAGCATGAAATACATCAAACTACAGTGAAATTTTATAGAACTCTAATATAATGTTCTATATTTTAGGATTTAGAACACATATACACATCACACATTATACATACCATGTTTTCATTGCGAAAGGTCACTAATAGCTTTCCTGTACTTTTGTGATATAGACTAGTTGTTGAATCCCAATTATTAATATATTCTAATTCTTCATGAGGATATTGTGCTAAATAAGAGCAAAAACGTAACAAATATTCACTTCTATGATATGTATAACATCGAAAAACCAATTTCTTTAAATTTGCCATCCAGTTCTAAAAAGACATTTTTGGATTAGCATTTTTCGAAAAACAGTTTGTATGCATGATTTTATAATACTTCACAGTCTATAAAAGAAATATAGATATTATTATTAAATAATGAAAGACTGCTTACATCATTTATCTTTTTAGGTCTTGTTAACGGATTTGAAAATTTAACATCTTGAGGCCACCACTTAGGTCTGTTAATAACCTTAGTAGTATCATGGCCTAACGAACAATGGACCATAAACAATATAAAACGTTCCAATTGTACCTGCAGAGGATAGTATTTATCAATATATTGTTTCTGGATTCATAAATAGAATTTAAGTCATCATGCAATATAGTTCTATTTATTTTTAATTATCTAATTACAAAATATATATTGTAAAATAATTCAAACTTATATCAGAAAAGACAAATAGCATTAAGTTATATATACCATTGTAATTTTTTCCAAAGATGTAGGATATCCATTAGCAAATAAGAGAGGAAGATTGGATACCATAGAACCCTCTTCCCTCGCTAAAGTCCCGTTATCCTCTAGATATTTATCATTAGTAGTATCATCCATTCTGATCTCATCGTTAGAAACTCTGTTTTGAGGCAGTTTTCTTATATTATTTCTATCACTCTCTTGTATAGCTGACAGCTTCATATTTCCAAAATCATCAATTTTATTCCCCATTTAAGATATATTTGCTGCGTGAAAATCCCTATAATGTTTTGTAAAGATTATTTTCTTATTCTGTTAGATATTCTTCAAAAATTTATAAACCATTTAATATGTTTTATATGTTATATAAAATGTACACAGTATAACAAGTAGTGTTTTTAAATGCTGAACTATTTCATCAATGTTAAATGTTTTGCAAGAACTCGCTTCTAATTTTCTATATAAGATACAACATACAATTTCAATTATCTTATATAGAGACAATCTTGCGAATAAGGATTAACAAATGATATTTTATCATATAATCTGTATCTCTATCTCTCTTTCTCTCTCTCTCACTAGTTCGGAAAATTTTCTATTTAGTGTAATATGTAGCACAGCAAATGCGATAATGGCGACACTTGCAAAATATAATAATATCCAGAACAGGACAAAATCTATTATAATTGAGCCTAATATTGTATCTGTATACCTTTTTTTTCTTCCTTTGGCAATTCTACCCACAGAGCTCAATGTCATTCAAGAGCATGGTAATATACAGTCTAAGCTTCGGCATCCTCACTCACACTTTTTGATAGTGTCCGATAATAGTGTACAATATTTCTGTTCTTTCTTCCTTCTTGGATGGCCTTCTATCTATTTAAGAAACTTTTCGGCGCGCATGCTTTTTTTAAATCAAAAAGATTTCAAAAAAGCTAAAGAAAGCTGCAGAAGTTGTCTAACTTAATAGCTAATTTAAATTCGTAACTTTATAGATACACACAAACGGGCTTTACGTGACAATTGTTACGCATCCATCATTATAACGAACATAAGAATAATTATTTTTGCGCATCTTTGCCATCAAAATATGAATTCCACAATGTTATATATGTTGGTTTGTCTATTGCAAGCCAAACTTTTCTTTTCGAGATTATCCTCATTCAGAAGCTTCGTGTTGCGTATCCTATTTTCGAAATGGACACTTTTCACCTGATGTGGTAATCATCACTCTTTCGTGACACTTCAATGTAACCGCACACTGTACATATACAACGCCTAATACAACTGGTTGCCACCTAACTAAGCAGTAAAGCAGCGCGGGAGAGTTTTTCTTTGCAGTGGGGATCGATGACAATTGACAAATACTTGGGTAACGCGTGACCTGCGCTCTACAAGAATCGATCGCGATTACGTGAGCAGAATTAATTCCCGAAATTAACGTTCCGCAATTTATAAATTGCAGGGTCCATGCGATCAGCGAACGTAGTCGTTATAGAGCGACAGAATCTGCCGAATGGCAGTTCTTTCTTTTTGCTACACTGTGTGCTAGGCATACGGTGAACTTGAGATGGCGACACGTCACGTCTCAACTCCGTCACTTATTCCTTTTAGCGCCCATAAAATTACAAGATTGTGAACTTGTTTCGCCATTCGCCTAATGTAACATTCATCAATATTTGTCTTCGAAGATTGAGTGGAAATTATGTTGGATAATATTAATGTTCTATTATAAACTCCAATTTTCGCAACAATAAAACCAACAGAAAACAAAAAATGGTGTGACATTAAAGGCAACTTTATATATTCAATGTGCATATGCTATATTTAAAAAAATTGTAAAGAAATTAAAGGCCATTGCACATGAAAAAGTTTTATAATCGTAAGGCCGTAAGCAAATCGACCAATCACAATCAAGCATTCTAACAAAGTCATAAGAATGTGTAACTGTGATTGGTTGATTTGCTTAGGGCCAATTTTACCAAGTCCGGTTAGATTAACCGACGGTTAAAATTAGCAGGGTGGCCAACAGAAAATAGGGGTGAAGGAAAACCAAGCATTCTTATCATTTCAGTTGGAACCCGGCTAATTTTAACCGTCGGTTAGTCTAACCGAGCTTGGTGAAATTGGCCCTTAGAGCCTTAGGGTGCCATTACATAAAGCGCAGAAACGCGGATTAGCGTAACGCGGAACGAGAAGGGAACCAATCGCGAGCGTAACAAAAACTGCAGAATGCTCGCGATTGGTTTCACTCTCGTTCCGCGTTACGCTAATCCGCGTTTCCGCGCTCCATGTAATGACACCCTTACGGTTAAGATTAAAATGTTTTCACATGCAATGGCCTTAGGGTGCATCCCGATGGAGAAAGAATAGCGGAACGGAACAGAAACGGAAAAGAAACCAGATAGAAGGTAACCAATCAGAATAATTCCGTTACAATTCCGTTCCGCTTTTTAATTAGTGGGTTTCCCATGGCACGGAATGGTCAATTTCTTAAGGCTTAGAGCTTAAATCACTATTGTAGACCGACACTTACGGAACGGAAAAATTTATAACCTCATTCATATGAAAAATTCGCGAAGTGTCTACCGAGATTCATTTTGCAACGTACGCTTTTGGCCACAATGAAGTAAATAAAAAGCAATGTCGTCATCATATATGTAACGTGACACACACTTATAAAATAGATTAGGTTAAATTATTCTTATTACAAATTTAAAAAATAGATACAATTGTATGTGGTATATTTTATTGATTAGGATAAATTCAAATGTGGATATTGCGGCTGGATTGTTTGGCGTGATGAAAATGGACAAGTTTCACATGGTTGCTTTGCAAAGTGTAAAGAATTATTAATGGACAAAGATAGAAATCTCTTTAGAAATGGTATGTATATTTGTGTGTACAAGAGAGACAATATATTCAACAAACTATTTTTATTTGTTTTTTAATAATTGTCATTTAATTTAATTAATACTTAGAATACATAAGTATCATATTACAATATTTGTTATAAACATTCGAAATGATTTATTTAGATTCTTTAGGAACACATTTGCATGTGGAAAATGAGACTGATGGAAACAACACTATTGAAAAAAGTACTGCCTATGAGAAAGAAAATATTGAGGAACACACTGCTCAAGATACAGAAAAACTAGATGAAGATTTAATAAGTGCAGCAAAAGAGAGACCAGCCTTATATGATTTTTACATACCAGTGCACACACACGCACGCGCACACACACACGCACGCGCACACACACACGCACGCGCACACACACAAACACACGCACACACACACGCGCGCGCGCGCGCACACGCACGCGCGCACACACACACACACACACACAAACAAGTATTATATATATTTCTTAATTACATTGTGTGTTGTAGGTTTATATACTGCTACTGAAGCAGAAAAACAATGGACCTATTTGAAAGATTGCTACAGAAAAGCAAGAAATACATTGAAAAAGAAACAAAGTATTGTGCAAAAAAGTGGTGCAGCTGGTATACCAAAGAACTATGAAGTAAAAGCATCCTTTCGTCATTACAATGTAATGACTTTCTTAAATGATATATTGGAATATCGACAGTAAGTTCAAGAATAGTGATAGTTCAGCTGATAATTATATTGTAGTAACGTCCTAACATTTATTTTAGAACCGTAACGTCCTTACAAAAATCAATATGTGAAGAGCAAAAAGCTTCCAGTTCAAATTGCAACAGCATTCCTTCTACATCAACAAGCAACAACTTCAACGTAGATGATGTTCTTACTTCTATCACCAATAACAATAATTCTACGTCACTGTCTCCAGTCTCACCGAAATCAAGAAGTATGAATTTTAGTATTTATTATGTGCAACTTACATTAGCGAATGAATAATTAATTTACATATTTTTTTGTTGCAGAGAGGAAGAGGATTGATTTGGACGAATATGAAGAAGCTCATGAAGATGAGTATAACAGTATATTAGAGTCTTCAATTTCTACAAATGTTTTACCAGTAGAAAACGAATATTTCAAAAAAAGAATGAGATATATAAGAAAAGTATTATTATTAAATAAAATTAATGAATGGAAAAGAACACTATTAAATTGGCACAAAGAAATGCGAAGAAGACAATTAGTTAAAACTTTCTTACTGCATCAGTTTAAAAAAAAAAAAGAAAAAGCAACCATGTGAAACTTGTCCATTTTCATCACGCCAAACAATCCAGCCGCAATATCCACATTTGAATTTATCCTAATCAATAAAATATACCACATACAATTGTATCTATTTTCTAAATTTGTAATAAGAATAATTTAACGTAATCTATTTTATAAATGTGTGTCACGTGTTTAATATAAAATAATATTTTTACATATAATAATAACGTATCAATGTGCCATTACATGAAGCGCGGAAACGCGGGTTAGCGTAACGCGGAACGAGAAAGGAACCAATCGCGAGCGTAACAAAAACTGCAGAATGCTTGCGATTGGTTTCACTTCCGCGTTACGCTAATCCGCGTTTCCGCGCTCCATGTAATGGCACCCTGATTAGTTACCTTCTATCTGGTTTCTTTTCCGTTACTGTTCCGTTCCGCTATTTTTTCTCCATCGGGATGCACCCTTAAGGTGCAAACCCATAGGGTGTGAGAGAGGATTCACACCTTGGCAGAAAAGCAGAAAGCAAAAAAGCAGAAGCCAATCAGAACTCGTGCTAAAAAAGCAGAAGCCAATCAGAACTCACGCTGAAAATAAGCAGTACATTCTGCTTTTTTAGCAAGAGTTCTGATTGGCCTCTGCTTTTCTGCTTTCTGCTTTTCTGCCAAGGTGTGAATCCGGCCTGAGGGTTCGTACCCATAAGCGGAATAGCGTAATGCGGAACGAGAGCGGAACCAATCACGAGCGTTCCACAGTTTTGTTCTGTTTTTAGTAGTTTCTAGCGGAATAGGTTTCACAGATTGTATATCCCCATGGAGCGGAATGAGCGCAAGCAGAACGAGCAGAACGTCTCTAAAATGACTTTTAAATATTGTTTTTATTGGTCGTATTTTATTATCGTGTACATAAATATTGAAATAAATGCGTTGTTATTGGAAATATTGATTAAAAATGGTAAATAAGTTAAACAAGTTTTAATACGGTTTTAACTCTTTTGAAATAATGACTCGTAATTGGTTGCGCATTAGTCCGCGGTGCGCTCATTACGCTTGGGGATGTAAGGACTTGGAATCCACGTTGTGAAAACTGCGGAACGCTCGTGATTGGTTCCGCTCTCGTTCCGCGTTACGCTATTCCGCTGCATGGGTTCGCACCTTTAAAGTAAAGGCCATGATACGTAAAAAAGTTTTAAGCCCGTATCAAGCCCGTATCAGACTACGCATTGAAAATTGAAGATTGGAGATTAAAGATTGGAATTTGACTAATCAGAACAAAAGGAACTAAAATTTCTTTGTCTTGATTGGTCAAATTTCAATCTTGAATCTTGAATCTCAATCTTCAACGCGTAGTCTGATACGGGCTTTAGTGCCAGTCTACAATAGGTGATTTAATCCCTAAGCCTTGCCTTAAGAAATTGACTAATCACAGTCAAGTATTCTTCTCATACTTGATTGTGATGGGTCAATTTCTTAAGGCTTAGGGCTTAAATCCTATTGTAGACCGGCACTTAGGCCCGTTCTACAATAAGTCGTATGCCGTTAGTCGTAACCAAATTGACCAATCACAGTCGATTATTTCAAGAATATTCTCGGAATAATGGACTGTAGTTGGTCAATTTGCTTATGACCACGGCTCTCCTATACCACCTATACCGAACGGTGGCAGAATAATGACGCCGGCCACTACGTGGCGCTAGCAGGATACCTTGTCCGTTTCAACTTCAGGGAGTCGATCGTGTATCTTTGAAACAAAGTGAAAATTACAAAAGTGAACAGATTTACTAGATTTTGACAAATGAAATCGTAGATACTCTAGTGAATTTACTCACTTTTGTAATTTTCACATCGTTTTAAGATACAGAGGGTGCTTTCCAGCAACGTACACAGGCGACACTGTGTAACACAGTGTACGACTCAGTGCTTTCCAACTACGACACAAGTCGACACAATCGTACACAGCTAGAATGATGTGTTCGACTGTGTCGTCGCTCAATTGATTAAGGGTGCTTTCCAGCAACGTACACAGGGCAACAACGCGACACTGTGTAACACAGTGTACGACTCATGGCCAATTTCACCAAGTCCGGTTAGATTAACCGACGGTTAAAATTAGCAGGGTGGCCAACAGAAAATAGAGGTGAAGGAAAACCAAGCATTCATATAATTTCAGTTGGAACCCTGCTAAATTTAACCGTCGGTTAATCTAACCGGACTTGGTGAAATTGGCCCTCAGTGCTTTCCAACTACGACACAAGTCGACACAATCGTACATAGCTAGAATGATGTGTTCGACTGTGTTGTCGCTCAATTGATTAATTAAACTTATAAATTTTGTTAATAAGATAAAATTATGACTATATTATACTTAATTTACATAATTTGATCAGTTTTCAATTTCTTCTCTACATATCTGATACATAAATTAATAACTCATAAAAAATTTTTGTTAAAATATATCAAGAGACACGGTAGTGTCTCGTGCCAAGTCATGCGCAGCAACTGTGAGGCACCCCGTGTATCTTTACGCGAGTCGGCTAGTTGAAGAGTTCTTAGATTATCGAACCTCAATAACGGCTGAACCGATTAATGTTTTAATAAGCTTAATCGAAAGCTTGAGTTTGTTTTATATTATGAAAATATTTTTACTTTTCTTCTACGTATCCTATAAATGAAGATATTATAATCCAAAGTCGAAATGTATAAAATTTTTACTAAGAAACGTCTCCGTCGTCATCGACGCCCAAGCCCCCAATGCGCATGTGTACAAGAAGTTGTACGGTTCGAGCATTCGACATAAGATTGCGCTAGCGGCGCTACTACTGCTTGCATCCATACCAGCTTTTGACAGATATAGGTTAATAGGTTTGCAATGCAATAGTGCAATGTTATATAGCGTAGCACGCTTTCATTTATAAAAAAGTGAAGCAACAAAATTCTTCGTAATACTCGTGGTTAGTTGGATCAGGTATTGAATACACATACACACACACACACACACACATATCTGATA